TTGAATTATGCCAAGTCTTGCCTAGGGTTATTATTACTGTTAAATGTATGAAACTTCATGATCGAATACCCTTTCGGGTATGGCACTTAGTCTTATTCAGCAGGGTATGGGCAACCCTTACCCGCCAATTTCTCTTTTTGATAGACAATTATGATAGCCTTAATTTTCTCAGTGATAATTCCTTCGAACTTTGCAGCGATCACAAGTTTAGAGGTACTTGTAATATTTTATGGGGTGGGTTGGCGAACGATGTTTTGAGCCTAACAACCACCTTCAGGAGCTCCTCGTACTCCTGATACTTGTAACACTTAGAAGTTTGGAGGATCAGGAAGAGAACTGGGCATGGGACCGACTATAATATTTCTCTATATCATCTGCATCAACATCACCAAATGAGCCATCATCTTAGTAATTTTCTCATTTAACTGAGTGATCTCTCTATCCTTGGATCTCATTTATCATCACATATTGGCAAGTGCGATGTTTTCAACATCAAGAGAATTCTTCTCTGTTTCTTCTACTTCCTCTCCATATAAATATCCACCTCTGCCAGTGGTGGATCCAGCTTCGTCATGATGTTGATAATCTTGTTTGGACCATGGCTGCCAATCACCATCATCCTCACCATCATCATAGTCGACCTCAGTATGTCTCACCATGTACACGACCTCCACATTGAAGGTGCTATTTATTTCTTCTATTTCTTTGTCCATATATTTCATATATTATTCTTCTTTTTCTATGTTTTCTTCCTATCTTCTAGTAACCATTTCTCCAAGCGACGTTGCCACATGATCTCCAGTTCTTGATTCAACAGGAAGATCTCTTTGTCATATGGACTGCGGTCAAAGTTGGTTGTCTCTTCCTTTGGAGGGGAGGGTAATTGATAGGATCTCCTAGGAGACTCCTCGGGGTGTTCTACCATGATGGTGGGCCTCCACGTAGGTCTTTTTTGGAACCCTTTTTTTTTTTTTTTTTTTTTTTGGGGGGGGGGTTTTTTTGTGGGGGGGGGGGGGGGGGGTCTCCAGGAAGACACACTGGATGTCACACCTGGATGAATCCTTCTTTTTCATCAGTTTTCCTTTTCTTCTCTATGAGGTTTTTGCCTTCAGATCTCTTTTCCTTTTCATTTGGAACTTGTAAAGGTAGATCCTTAAACATACAATTTGGGTGTCACACCCTAATATTCACTAGGAAGGTTATGTCTCCTTTCATTCTGTCCACCATGGCAGATTGTAGTGTTTCCCTTGGTTGGGTTCTCCTATCCTCAATCATCAATGGCCTCTAGAACTTGTTATTCTTTAAACCCCTCTCTTTCGTTATCTTTAATACTCGGTACACACAAGAATCGATAGGGTTTGGAGTTTCTTCTTCTTTGGAGAGGTCATAACCTCATGCTATTGATCCCAGAATGACTTCCTTAACTCCCCAGGAGAAGTATTTCTTTTGACCCATTTTAGGTCTATTAATTCATTATGGGTAGAAATTGTAGCTTCTATCACTTGAGCCGGTAAGTTGGATGGATGAACTGGGAGTTCCTGCTGAGCTCGAAGCTCAGCATTCCTCTTCCTCCTCTGCCTCCAAGTAAGCCTTCTTCCGTATGAGTTAGCTTTCTTGATGTTCTTCCCACATACAAAAAACTCAGTTGGTAGAGGTGTGGTGTTTGTAATCATGTGGATCTCTGAAAGGACACTGCTCACGACTATAGAGTTTAGAGGGTGTATCACCACACCACCCCGAGGGATAGACTATCGTAGAACTCCGTGCTCCTTACAAACAAGCTAATGGAAGGGCATATTAGATTGTAAATATGACTAACCATTGAGGATAGAGGCTCTTACCAGTGCACCCTGATGGATAGTGATATACACGACCTGATCAAAATAATAGGTTTTCTCCACCCGATATATCAGCTCAAGTGGAATTTATTTGATGGTGGAGTTCCATTTCCCATAGGGATAAGACTCCGTGGTTAATTGCATCTCGAGCCTATGGTCTAAGAAAACTCTTGATTAAGGATCCAATATTATTCTTCCCAAAAAGGGGATTAGTATACAAAGGGGGACTAATAAGTTCCTACTCAAAGGGATAGAAGGGCTCAAGTGGCTTAGTCAACATGCACGGCTCACACTGACATTCAGAGGGACTAAGACAGTTGAGGAGAGAAAGAAACTCAAACACTCAAAATATAAAAAGGGAAGGATAAAAGTGGTATCATCTACGTGATGTAGATAGATAGGATTTATAATCCTTGAAGAAAAGGAATTTATCCATCATTTAGGCATACTATAAGACACCTAATGTAGTAGCCTTAAACCCTAAATCTAAGGTGGGTTTAGTATTATACCCAACACTAATACCCGTATCCTAGCTAATGCACCTGGGCTTATATCCTGCCTAAAAAGGAAGGTCAGCTAACCACCTAAGCGCTTAAAATCCATGATGACCAATCTTTATAAAAAATAGTTAGGTAGTTTAGTGTTTTGGAAGTAGGGCCATGTTACAAATCTATTTTCATGACTTATCTTTTGATGATTGACAAACACTATTGATTCTCTTGGACTGGTTGTTACTTCTAACTTTTCAGGAATCGAAGATCGGGCGAACAAACGAAGCCAGTTCAAGATTGCGTAGGTCTAGGGTTGAGTCAGTATGTACTTTATTTTTTCTCTTTTTGAGTCTATTTGTAATGATCACACACACACACACTTGAGAGACTTAGAAATTCTATTTTTACTCATATCGAACAGGATGATATTTACATCGTCCTGGACGATCAGGCTTAAAATAGAAAGTCTAATTAAGGATTCTTAACTAAGGCAGCCGTCATTAATGTATCGTCCTGGACGATACGTGTATCGGCCAGGATGTTAAGCTCAAAATAGAAAGAAGTTGCCGCCGTAGACAATTAAGGTATACTGTATTTTTAAATAATCGGCCAGGACGATCATTGATCGGCCTAGATGATATTCACAAATTATGCTATAATTGATCAGAAAATCAAGGGTGTAATTAAGGATGATTCATGCGATCATATCATCCTGGACGATCGCAGAATCGGTCAGGACGATCTATTCAAAAACCTTAGTTACTTCAGGACGATAAATATCGGCCAGCTTGAATTCAGGGCGATGCTCTGGACGATTTTTCCTCTGATTTGAACTGATCGGGCGGGACGATCGTGAGATTGGCCTGGATAATCAAGCCAATTTTAAATCATCCAGTGCGATCAGAGCGATGCTCTGGCCAATCTTCTGAAATTTGTACTGCAGGCCGATGTCCATATCGGCCTGGACGATATTGTTGGCAACTTGCAATTAATAAGCTCCTTTGAAGCTCTTCTATTTAAGAGCTCTTGTTCAACGTTTTGAACAACCTTAGTGCTGCTGCCTTGACCTGAGAAGGCCTTGAGAAGAGAAAGAGAGAGAGGGAGAGAGAGAGGATCTTGTGAGGGGGAGCTTGTGAGGGGATTCACAAAGGTTGCTTTAAGGATCTCTCTGCTTCTTCTTCATCTATAGTTTCTCGTCTGTGGAAGGGTCAGTAGAGGTAAAGAGTCAACATCATGTTGTGGTTCTCTGCTAGCTTCAGGAGGAAGCAAAAGGAGATAGGTTCTCTGCTTTGCCGGGGTGGCAAAAAGGAGGTTCGTTGTAAAGGTTTCTCCGCCTAGCTGTGGGGGCTAAAGGAGAGTCACGTTTGTAATACAATACTAGGAGGGCGCCTCCGGGAGTAGACGTAGGTCGAGTTGACCAAACCATTATAAATTTTTGTGTTCTTGTTTCTTGCTTCCGCACTTTAATTTCCGCATTTATTTTTCATGTGGTGTGATTTTGGTTTATGTGTTTTTGTTCTTTGTGAAAAGAAATTTTTAAAATACCAATTCACCTCCCTCCTCTTGGTTAGCTTGGGACTAAGTTCATAGGGCTTAACATCCCGAAC